AAAGACCCAAGAAACCAAAGGAGGGCAATTAACCAACCAGGTGGTGACTACATACAGTCAGGGCTGCCAAGTACAACATTCCTCCAGTTATATGATCGTACTTGTCCTTTGTGAAAGAAGCAGATTAAACATTTTCAGGAAATAGCCTGGTTTTTAAAAAAAAGTTAACAACAACCCTTCAATAATAACTTGCACTAATTTAGCCCTTTGTAAAAACTATGCGGCATTTTTCAAGTTATTGGAATATAATAGTACACATTCAAGTATTTTTTTTTGGAGGGATAGCTTGGCTGGCTCTGTTCAAACGTAAGTGGCAAGAGCAGGCATAACACCTTGAAAAGCTGCCCCGTTATCAAGAATGTGCTTAACAACTTTTAGTTTTCCCTTTGAGAATGTTACCCCTGCAATCAGCTACTCAGTGGGCACGGCTACATGAGCCACTGAATCGCCAGAGCGACAAGCTACAGTGACGTAGCTCGTCACTACGGCAACATAGCACTGTTAGGCAAAAATCGCAATGCTGCCACTACTGCGCAGTAGCTCATTGCTACTACGCACTAGGGTCAGAAATGACCCGTGTAGCACCAGGACTGTGCAGTACCGGCAATTACTGCACAGTGATTTAATAGCTGCTAAATCAAGTGCTAAATGACTGCACAGTAACAACTGCATAATCAGGGGCACATGTAGACACGCCCAGTTTATACCTACTGCTGTAGCTTGAATTTCCTATAAAGAATACTGAACATTGTAAATATTGATGTTCTGTCATTCGAATCACTTAAAATGCCAACAAGTTCTAAAGTGCTCTTACACTATGTACATAGGTGCAAAGTGTTAACTGTTTTTCATTATATTATACCTTGTTACAGAACACTGCAGTTAAGTGGAGCTAAGGCAGGAAGCTGCAGCTCTGTGAACACAAACCACAGAAGAATTACTTAAGTGATTAAAATAAAATCCAAAATCTATCTATAACTAATAGGGGCTATAACTCCCAAAAGTATGCACTAAATTTGGGTGCTCCTCTTGGAGGAGACCCTTAAACAAATGGATAACATAGGCTATGCCCTCAAGAATGTTGGCCTTAGTCTTTCTAAGCCTTATTTTACAACTGTGTGAAATAATGGTAATTCCTCCCTACCCACGTGTAAAAGAAAGCATTCCCTTCTGCCTCATTCCTACAAAAATGGAATAAGAGCCATGGTATGAATAAACAACTCAATTTCTATTGAGTATTTTACCCAGTAATTTATGCCTAATTTCTTCCTTGGTAAGAAGTGTCTGCTCTCTCAGCAGGCATATCAGAATGCCTGGTCAATAGGTGGTGGAGAAGCCAGTTTGCTACTTCTGGATGACACTGGTTGGGTGAGCAGAGACACAACTGGTACACAGGTGTAACTCCTCAGCATCTGAGGGGTAATATGACTCTCAAGTAGAGTCACTTACACCACTGTGTGAATACACCACTCTCCTAGGAAGATAAGTCAATTTACTCTGTATTAAGCATGCTCTGTCCACACAGCCAGAGAGGAAAACCACATTTCTTGGATCAGGAGCATGGGCCAAACCATAAGATCTGATTCTTTTTAAGATATTTGTTAAAATTTTCTCACATTTCATTCAAAAGACTTAACAGCACATGGCTGACCTTTAGGATGCAAAAATATGTGCCATACTCTAATACCTGATGTAGGTATTTGTCAGCAACTAGTAAGCCCCACAAATTTTGGGACAGATCCTACCTTATTAGGTGCCTATGTGGACTTAGGCACCTAAGTGTGATCCTAGTCTACCCTGCTCCAGTCCCTGAAAACCAGTTAATGCAAAGGGTAGACAGGTCCTCATCCTGTTCGCTGCTCTCTGTGATAGCCTTAAGGCCAAGATGATGGTGCACTAATGTTCTTTTTTTTCTGGGATGTGAACAGAGTAAAAAAGAATCAAACTTAAGGCACTAAAGTCCACTTAGCATCAACAGATGCCCTTTATATGCGATGGACACTGTGTTCACTTGAAGCAAGATGGCCACCAGTGATGATGTTTTGTTCCTTAATATTGCATTCTTCTTACCACCTCGGGTAAATTGGAAACAAAAGCTCAGCAGGGCAAGGATTCTGGTCCTTGTCTGGCAGAGATTATTTAAACACCAAATCTATCTCCAGTGCTATGTAACAAATAAATTAGAAAGTAGATACACTTTAAAGACCCACTCTACAACTGCATTTAAGCACGATGCTTAGTTTTAAACATATGAATGGTCCTTCCAACTTCATGCTTAAAGATAGGCATGTGTTTAAGTACTTTGCTGGACTGGAACCTACCTACAGGAAGAACAGAAGATACTAGGGACAGCAAGGTCCTGTAGGGGACAAACAAGAAAATGTCATCTCTACAGATGACCTCTTTTTTGACAAATCTAGAGAATTGGCAACTTTCTACTAGGACACTTGCCCAGGATCTCACTGCTGCAGCCTTTTCACCAACCTCTCACCAGTACACTTGGAACTCAAAATATGATCTTTTTGTTTCAGTCTGCAGCTTCAAAATATCAGATACATAGCCAGAATTAAATATACAGTCAAACTACCTGTTGGAACTGAGAAAAAAAGATCACACTACTTTCATCTCTTCCTTCCCGTCACCGTATCCCTGGGCATAGCTGGTGTGCACGTTCTGCAGACATTGCGCCCACACGTTGCCTTCGCTTCCCTGCTCCTCCACAGACTGTCAATAATTCTCACTGCCGTACAGCAGCTCTACAAATCTGCTTCTTCAGACTGGCAGCCAGGTACACAAAAGAAAATGGATTCCACCATCACCCTGTTGATCTTGAACAGGATTGGGTTGCATCACCAAGTGCGCCCACGACTGACTGCCTACAAGAACCTGTGCAGAACTGAAAGAATCGGTGCCACTTCAGAACGGGCAGAGCTGTCTCCCTCTGAGTGAAGATACAAGATCTGGGGAAAGTGACTGGAAAGACACGCTGTTCCTGCGAGCAGAATTTGAAGAACCAGTCTGAATGGGAAATTGAGGAGGAAGCAATAATCTTCAAACGGGATGAAGTTAAGTACGGTTTAAACAGGGGCTATGGATTCCCACCCCCTTACCTGGACTAAGCAATCAGGGCTCTTGCACAAAGGTGATATCTTTTATTAGACCAACAAGATTTTTGCAAAAAAAATTCTTTCATTGCAAGCTTTCTGGCACAAACACCTTTCATCAGACAATTCCTCTCCAGAGGTGGGCAATTATTTCAGGCAGAGGGTCACTTACTGAGTTTTGGCAAGCCATCGAGGCCTGCACAACAGGCAGCCAGGGCAGATTAATATTAATTTTCTAAATATTTAGGGGCCGCGCGGGCCGGATAGAATGGCGTAGCAGGCCGCATCCGGCCCGCGGGCCACATTTTGCCCACCCCTGCTCTAGACCAATACTGCTACAACCTGGACACCTTACCTGGCCTAGTGTTTGTGACCCTCCCCCCTTTGTTCCTCCAGGTGCTTTGCCCATTTGCCTCTCCCAGCACTGCTCCCCTCCCACCCCCCACCATCCCCTCCCTCTTCTTTCCCCACCTCCCCTAGTCCCAGGGCTCCCTCTCTTTGTACCCTGCAGACTGCTCGTCCTGTCGCAGCATCTGAGGAAGCT